AAGTCATGGTGCATTTTTGCATAGAAAAATATGTCATGACTTTTCCAATGACTATATATATGTGTGTGTGTGTGTGTGTGTGTGTGTGTGTGTGTGTGTATCTGAGAGGATGCTGTGCAGATTAAATAATAAGGCACACAAAGTGTTTCGCATAGCACCTATACACAGTATACTAAACAATGTTAACAATTATTATTATTATTAGCCTTTGCAGAAATAAGCTGGAGAAGGCACAGCCCCAGAAGTAATTCTCAGTATTATACTCAGCTCAGCTTCAAAAACTTCTAAGAACCCAAAACCTCTGGATAAATCTTGCTAAGACCCATCCTGTCCTATAAATGAGGCCCATATTGCTTTTATCTGTTTATTCTTCTATTCACTGGCATATATTCAGCACATAAGCTGTGGCAAGCTCAAGGTAAGTTGTGGAGACACAAGGGTGTAGAAACCATGGCCTTTGTCCTCAGGGACCTCACAGTGTGTTGAGTAGACTCACCACGAGCGATATTAATATGGTGAGATCAGTGCTCTAACATGGGGATGCACAAGACTCAAAGGTTACAGAGAAGTAAGCCTGGGTCCCAGGCACTCCTTACAGCAAACCACAGGAGCTTACCATTCACTCTGGGCAATGTCCGCTCCCAGCAACATTTGCCCTTTTGAGAATCCGTAATGATGTCTCATAACCTCGACTCTGGCTATTCTCTCTGAACGTAATACCATCCTATGTGGAAAATGCCCACAAATCCTCCATTTCCGCCTGAGTTCCCTCAAGGAGACTTAAGGGGCTCTTTCTGCCCCCTCATTGCATCTTCTAGGATCTCATTGAAGGTGGAAGCCATGTCCCTGCACTTTGACTGCTGGCACCTAAGCGCCCAACACAGAACAGATATTCATTAATGCCGACGTGCACATGCAGCTGCCGGGGTGTACCCTCATGCAGCCAGTGCCATCTGCATGTCAGTCAGTGTAAGAAAAACCAGCGACTCTGACCTTCCATCCACCCTGGAGTCTTCTGTCCCCCTCGATCCAGATACCTCATAGGAAAGTTCTGACTTCTGCAGAAGGTTTCTAGTACCACCCAACTTTTTTCCTTTTTTCTCCCACCAATGTTAGCCTAGTTTTACTCTTTAAAACAATGCAGAATAAATATATCCATATTCTCTTCCACATGGCAGCCCTTCATATATATGAAGACATCAAAAAGATATGATATCAATATAAGATCCTCCTTTGTGTTTTTTATTTTCAAATGCACACAGCTAATTAAGCCATCAACACACATTTGTGTGTGTGTGTGACATGCACTAAGCACTTCTTTAGAAGTTTGAATGTCATAAATTTAGTCCTGATACCTTAAAAACCAGCAGCATACATGTATCTTAAATTTTGATTTGCTTCATTGTGTTGGTTTCAGTCCTATTTTCCAGAAGCTCTAGATGATGGTAGCTATTAGTTTATTGTTGTTTTCATTATAACTGTGGTTAATTTATATGGAACATGTGCTAGCATGATAGGAGGCCTTGACATGTTTCCTTTTTAATTCTCCTAATGATCTGAAAAGACAAGCCTATAACCACGTTATGGGTGGTAAGCTTGGATTTGAGCTGTTACCTTGCCGTGTGTCAGATGAGAGACAGGCCCAGCTGAGTTTTCTGTCAAGGCGAGAGCCCCTTCCCCTCCATATGCCATCACTTTGTGCCAGTCCCTGATATTTGCTTTTCATTTTACTTTGGTGTCATCTGCAAATTGGACATTCCTTCTTCTAAATAATCTTTCAAATCATTCTTTTAAAATATTGAACAGGAAAAAAATATTGTGTCTAGTCCTCAGAAAAACGCCTTTCCAGCTTATGTGGAACTGTGAGCAATACTGAGTTTACCCAACCATTAAACCTGTGACTATGACATGACCCTGCCCCATTCTTATACTATCTTCTGTACAATCACCTCACTGGAACCATGTTAGGCCATTGCTAAAACTTCCTCATCTTGTCAACTGATCGATTCAGTGGCATAATTAGAAAAAAAATGGACCATGTCTGGCATGATGTGCTTATGAGAAACTTACATTAACTTCTAGGGATCAGTGCCTTTCCTTCAAAATACCCACAAATTGGGACCAGCAGCTGGAGTAATGGCTATGTCGCTGGACTCCCATGTAATCAACTATGGCTTTAGTCCCAGACCCGGTGTCTTAAACTCACGCCGGGCGCGTGTGTGTGTGTGCCCAATATCCTGACAGGAGAATGGAGGAGAAGGGATTGCAGTGTGGCTGGCCCCACTGGGGTGTGATTTCTCACTTTCTGTCTCTCTGTCTCTCTCTGTCTTTCTGGTGAGTGCACGTGCTCTATAGCAAAAACATCTCCAAAACTAAATAAAAAATTAAAATTAAAAAATACCCATAAATCAATTGTATAATGATATGTTCCAAAGCTTCAACCAGAACCCAAATAAAAGGCTTCAGTGTTTAGTCCTTTGATGAGATACAAAATCATCTTCTTTACTAAAAGCAGAAACTGAGGCCAGCCATACAACACTGTGGTTAAGTGCTGTACATGGAAAGCCAGATCCCACATGGTCAATGGCAGTTTGAGTGCTGGGCTTGGTGGCTCCACCAATAACCTCAGTTATATTGTAATCCTCAGTTTGACAGTAGAACCAATCCCATGTCCCTTTCATGTATCCGTTCCTGTTCATTGCCTACATGTTCTGCGGCAGAGTGTTTGATGGATATTACTAATCCTACAATGAAATATTAAAAATGCCTTTCAATTGCATGATAAATGGTTACCTATGAGAATACTTGAAGTCCATTTAGAGGAAAGAAGAATGGTAAGTCCAAGGGGGCATAGGTGATGTCTGATTGCTCATCCCTGAATTCTCAGTTCCAGGAACGTAGTACTGGCTCAAGAAGCGTTTGCTACAGTGAACAGGGAGAAGAAGCTATTGAGAATATGGGTACCCTTAAGAAAGGGAACCCAAAGTTTTAAATTCTTATTAAAACACGTATGACTGATAGGAAAACCTTTCTAGAAAGCAGGTTTGGTAGAACAATGTAAAAAGAGTTCCTGAAGATTCTGAAAGGATGGGAGGAAAACACAGAG